TAAAAAAAATAAAAAAATAATAAAAAAAAAAAATAAAAATTGAAAAGTTCTTTTAGAGGTTTGGCTAGTTTGGTTGGTAAAAAAACTTATTTGATTAGCATTTTGACCAAAAAAAACTAATTTTGAAAAAAATAAATATAAATGAATTTTTTGATAGCGCTAAGACAATTCTCTAGTCAAATCAGCTATAACAAATTAATATCCAAATAAATGCATATCTAACGGTTAGACAGTTTAACGAAAAACTCAACTCTAGTTGTTATTACTTATTACTGATCCAATACCAGCGGGCTTGGATTAAGACAAAATGTTGTAAAGAAACATAATCTCAATCTGCTAAGTAAAGGTGATAATTCGGTCGAGTTGGCCTATCAACCTAGTGGGTTCTGCTGATGATCGATCGATCCCATTAATGGGTACTCAAAGCCTAAATCGAAACCAAACTCATGTAGTACACAGACTGGTCTTCTTGGCTCAGTGGATCCAATCCAACTCACGATTGGTCAAACCAACAGAATTTGGCTTAAAAATTTTGAATTTTAACATTCAAATTTTGATTTTCTTTTATTTAATTTTGGCTTGGGCCCAAACCCGACGGGTTGGGGCTCTTATGTGCTCAATCTTGGTTGCTTCAAGATTAATCGTCCAGATTCACCCGGGACGTGTTGACCCAAAACAAAACCGGTGGGTTGGTGTAAAATTTGTTACTTTCTTTTTTTTTCCACAAAAAGACGTTGAGTTTGCGGATTGGCCACTTCTATCAGTGTTTTAAATACAGTACCGGTGGTCATATCGGTCTAGCCACCGGTACGCGGTATTACCAGTCGGACCGGTAATATCGGTGGTATTACCGGATTAGCAAATATAATAATAAATATAAATATACATACAAATATTTAATACCAAATGCACTAAACTAAAAAATAAATGACTATAATCATTAATTTCAACTTTTCAATAAGATGAAAATAAAATATTTTAACTACCAATTTTATTTTTTTTATTTTTTTTAATTAACCGGTATTTTGGACCGGTATTTTGTGGTTTTTACGGTATGATCTCGGTACAAACCAATATAACTGCAAAACTGGTATTTTGAGTGTATTTGTATCGTACTAATGGCCGGTATCCGGTATTACCGGCCGATACGGTACGATATTTAAAATATGAACTTCTATCTCGAATTAGTAATTAATGTGTTGGAAAAAGAATAAGATAAAACAATCAACCATAGTGTGAAATCAAATATCACATGAACAACGAACTTAATATATATTTATATATATATTCAACAATACTGCAACATATATACTTTTTTTTTATCAACTGGGTGGTATCCCCACATTCAATCCGGGGTCTCACCACGAACTCCCAAGCCACTCGCCAAGCCCTACTCGGGGGGTGTGGGCCTATCACAGGTCTGTGGCTTTAACGGGCTACGGGATCCACATTCAGAGGGCGAGACCTAATCCACCCAAGAAGTACACAGAACCCCATCCATACACCCCACGATAGTTGGGTTCGATCCCCCAACCTTTGGTATCAATAGCATATTTGCCTCCACCATCAGCCGTTGGACTACATGCCCCAGGGGCACATATATACTTCTTGACTTGATCAAAGTCATCACAAAGAAGAACAACTTTGTTTTCAAAAATAATAACAATAATAATAATAATTCTGTAACTTAAGCCAAATTCAAACTGAGGCCCATAATTAATCCACTAGCAAGCACAAATTCAAATATACGTTGTGATCACGTGAACAGAATGCCCATTTAAATATTATTCCTATATCTGAAAAATAAAATAAAAATATTCGGGTGTTACTCTGTTGGGGTCTCTGTGTTGTGTTGTATTTTGTGTTTTTTATTATCCTGTTGGGGTCGGATCTAGGCGGTCGGATCTCGGCGATCTAATGACAT